ACAAAAAAAAAAAAAAAAAAAAAATCCAAGTATGTATCTCATTATGCCCAGTTTATGTGGTACTGAGGATAGATAAAACTCAGGCCTGAGCTACATTCCCAGTCCCTAAAATATTAGTTTTTTATTAAGAAAAATAAGCACTTAAAATCAAACCATGACCAAGTAAAACGGTACTGCTACCAGAAATATGCTCTATACTTCTAATATGATTAGTGGAAGGAAAAAACAAATTGTTTGAAACAATTTAAAAATTGGGCTGGAGAGAGTAGTTAAGAGCACAGACTGCTATCCCAAAGGACCAGGGTTCAATAGCCAGCACCCACATGGCAGCTCACAACTGTCTGTAACTCCAGTTCAAGGGCATCTGGCACCCTCACACAGACATGCATTTTTTTCTGTCTTACTGCCACTGAGTTAGCTTGTTCCCCGTTTCTAATCAGGGTTTTACCCAAGTGGGAAGCTAGCAAGAAGGCTCAACAGGTCAATATCTGCTTGGTGTGATCATAAAGACCTGAGCTCAATTCCCAGGACCCACATGGTGGGAGGAGAGAACCACCTACCACTAAATTGCCCTCTGACCTCCACATATACACTATGGCCTGTATGGAGCACCACAATACATACAATGCAACAAAATGTAATAAAACACTTTTAAGTATTTCACCCAAGTAAAAGAAAAACTTACTTTGCTACTAAAATCCTATGACTTGGGGTCCATATTTTACTGTATTGGGACCAGAAGATGAACATACTACACTTCCACTTCTACCAAGATGGTCTATAAAATCACAAAAGGGAACTGTAACCAAGTCACTCCCCCAGGTTTTTCGGTCCAACCTCAAATTAGGTAAAACCCCAGTGACAGTAATAACTATAACAGAAAACATACAACCCTAATGGTACTTTCAAAAATAGGCCAATAGTGGACTGGTCTTCCTGGGTGGGTAAAGACTGTGACTCAGAGCTCACACCACAGCCATAGCTTATTGTCACCACCTCTTTAATGCTTAATGTTTTCCTATTCCTTCATTTTTGTTTTACGCTTGAGACTGGTCCCTTGCCCATATTAAGTAAGTGCTCTACCACTGAACTACACTACACCCACAGATCTCTTCTGTTCCTTATTTAGTATGGGGTTCAGCAAACACAAGGACCTAGTAGTACTGTAGCAGTTACCACTTCTGCACAGCTCCTTAGCATGCATGACTTTGAGGCAGCTAATTTCTGTCATTAACAGAAATAATAAAGAACTTATCCAGAATCCTCCAAGCAGCAATTAGCAAAGCTGGAGTTCAAACCCAAGCAGAGGTTTCAAGTCTGTGCTGTTACCATGTCCTCAAATCAATTATTTGGAATTAGGCTTTCCATAACCCCCACATATCTTGAATATCACTAAGAGCCTCAACCACAAAAGGGTACAATGGATGTGACAAGGTCAATGCTCAGCCTCTTCTCCATCTTTTTGGGTTTCACATTCCCAATTCACACTACACTGAAAGGAGAGATACAGACTGCACCAAACCAAGTCAGTACTGGAAGCACTAACAAGAGTGGCAGAATACAGGCACTAGAATTAGAGCAACAACAAAACACTGCATCCACGAAAGCAGCTGGTATTGGTAATGTACTATTAGTTAGTAGATGGTAAACTCTATAGCTCATGGGTCCAAGTTCAATCTTCCTCAATAGCCAAAAACTGTATTTTATTTTAAAAAAATAATTTAGTGAGGACTAGAAATACAGCACATAAATGAAACTTTGTGACAGAGATACACATATATGGCCTGAAAGGCTTAAAATATTTAGAGACTAGGCATGGTGGTGTGAGACTTGAATCCCAGCTGGGCGGTGGTGGCACATGCATTTAACCACAGCCCTGGGAAGGCAGAGGCAGGCAGATGGATCTCTGTGCGTTCAAGGCCAGCCTGGTCTACAAAGCAAGTTCCAGGAAGAGCTCCAAAGCCACAGATAAACCTTTTCTTGGAAGGAGAAAAAAAAAAAAGAGAGACTTGAATACCGACACTTGGGAGGGAAAGGCAGCTGGGTCTTTGTGAGTTCAAGGTCAGCCTGGTCTACAAAGCAAGTTCCAGGAAGAGCTCCAAAGCCACAGATAAACCTTTTCTTGGAAGGAGAAAAAAAAAAAAGAGAGACTTGAATACCGACACTTGGGAGGGAAAGGCAGCTGGGTCTTTGTGAGTTCAAGGTCAGCCTGGTCTACAAAGCAAGTTCCAAGCCAGCCAGGGCTAAACAGTGGGACCGTGTCTTAAAAATAAAATAAATTCAGGACTTGTAGCCTTTAAATAAATAGAACCACATACCTTTTAGAGTAGTGATTTTCAACCTTCCTAATGCTGCAACTCCTTAACACAATTCCTTCCCCAACCACAAAAGTATCTTCGCTGTTACCTAATAACTGTAATTTGCTACTGCTATGAATCATAATATAAATATCTGATAAACAGAGAGTCTTAGGTAACCCCTGTGAAAGTGTCATTGGATCCCCAAAGGATTAGGACCTACAGGTTGAGAATCACTGTTTTAGATGCTCAAGGAACTCTTTACCCCTGCTCATATGCACACAGTCTTACTCAAGCCAAGAATTCTGGTTATTCTACTGTCTCAGCATACTGAATAGCTGACATTATAGACATATACCATGTGCTTAACTAAATTTTTTCACACTGGAGATCTACTAATGGACAACCGCTTTTATTTATTGTTTTTGTTTTGTTTTGTTTTGAAGACAGGATCTCTCTACCCAGCCCTGACTGTCCTGGAACTCACTATGTGTATACAGGTTGGCCAAGAACTCAGAGATCTGCCTGTTTCTATCTCCTAAATGCTGGGATTAAAGGCCTGGACCACCACCATGCCTGGCTGATAACTGTTTTTATATTCTAACTTGTATTCTAATAAATACTCAAAGGGGCAAAGGTAAAATATATTTCTTGAGGAAGTGGTTAAGGCTTCTCTAAATGACCCTCTGATTTAGGCTAGCACTTTGGATATAATGGTTCAGTAGTTACTTTCACTGAAACCTGTTCAAATGAGGAATAATCAATATTATAAAGAAGAGATGGTAGGGGCTGGAGAGACAGCTCAACAGTTAAGAGTACTGGGTGCTCCTCCAGAGGCGAGGACCCAGGTTCAATTCCTAACACCCACGTGGCTGTTCACAACCCTCTGCAACTCTAGTTCTGGGGGATCTTCTGGCTTCAGTGGACACCAAACACACAATGCATAAATACACACAAAGGCAAAACAACCATTCAAAAATATTTTTAACACATTAAGTGCCCTAGAGATGACTTGATGTGTAAAGGAGCTTGCTGTGAAAGCCGAGTTAGATCCCTGGAACCCACACCAGGCTGGAAGGAGAGAATGGACTTTATAAAGTTGTCCTGACCTCCACACAGGCACACACACACATCATGCACACATGGCAGTAATAAAATGTTTTTTAAAAGAATGCATGAAGCAGTGTATAAAGGGTTCAAAGTCTACCACATTTCAAATGGGTTCTAAGCCAAAGCCTTTAGAAAATTAATTACAAATGTATGTGGGGGGGGGGCTGCTAGGAGCATGGCACGTGGCTGTCAGCGCTCAGGAGAAAGGAGGATGGGAAGGTTGGAGAGTCTGAAGCCAGCTTGGGCTGTCACAAACAAACTAGTGCCAGTTCCAAAACTGTCAGAAAAGTCTTCTCAAGAGCACTTCATTTAACAATTTCTTGATGTACATCTCTTTTGGTTTTCCTTTGCAGTGCATGAACTTTAAATGCCTTGAATAGATGCTCAATGACAAGTACTCAACAAAACAAAGACGCTTTGCTCCTACTAAATAATAGCACTAGCTCGCAACTCTCGCCAATCCTAAAGCGATTATGAAACACGGTATCATATGCCAAAGTTGTCTGAGGAACACCCAAACGACTTGATAATTGTACACGAGCAAAGACCAGTTTCTCAAGATGTCACAACAATTCTTCTAAGTGTAGTCACTCAGGAAGGTAAGGAAGAAACTACCCGGATCGTACGGCAGAAAGATTCTAATCTATTCCATAATACCTAAAAACAAAGCTGGCCTCCTAGTCCGGAAATTTGGGGTAGCAAACCAAGCCCAAACATCCCGCAATAAAAACTCTTATGACGACTTCCCTTAGGGACTTCCTACTTTACTTCCCTAGTGTCAGGCCCTTCAATGGGAGAGCCACGGTAAAAAAAAAAAAAAAAAAAAAAAAAAAAAAAACTGCTTGAAGGACGAGGGATGATTGACATCAAGATCTAAAAGTATGGGACATTCCATTACAGAACTGAGTTGAAGAGAAAAGTTGATTCTGAAAGAGGATAGGGCGAGGGCGGGGGTGGAGTTGGGAAGGGTCCACCAGGTGTGAAGAGGTGACTCGCCTAGACTAGACTCTAGGGGAGAAGACAGAGAAACCCGAAAAGGCGTGGCGAGTGAAAAAGGAACGCCCGCGCTAACCCTCTGGGTGAAGCCCCCGAAATGCCAATCGAGCGCTGGTTACCCGCCCGGTCCTCTGGGGCGAAGGCGCCAGGGGCGCATGTGGGAGGCTTCCCGAGCAGAGCCACGGGGAGGAGGCAGGAAGCGCCCCTCACCCAGCCAGGTTGGGATGGGGGCGCTCGGGCCCCGCCCTGAGCTCCTGAGGCGGCGACGCTGCTACCCACACCCGCCGCCGAGCCCCGGACGGCTCCCCACCGAACGCCCACACTCACTTTCTCGTGGAAGATGGACTCCATGTTTATTTGTCTGGAGCCAACGGCCCCGGCGCGGAGCTGCCCCCTCGAGCAGCTCCGCCCCCGGTCCCACCCCTCCACCACGCCCCGCCCCTCTCTGCCCACGTGCCTCCCATTAACCAATCACTACTGCGGGCGCACGTCACGAGGCACGCGGAGCCAGGGAGCGCGGGGCACGTGACCTGGGCGGCGGGTCCTCCGGGAGCTTGTTCTTCCGCGGCGTACGCGGTGTTGCGGCGCCGCCTGCCGTGCGGAGGAGCTTCTCCGCCTTCCGCGGTTCGCTGAGCTGTCTTGTGATTGTAGGGTTCGGGATGAGGATCCTCGCGTCCAGATTTTAGGGCTTTTTTTTCTTTTCCATCTTCTTTGGTTCTTTCTGCCTAACTGCATGTAATTAACACCTCTTTCAAGAAAAGCTATCTCTCAATACCTAGTACTTATGTTAAAAAAAAAAAACTATAGCTAATATTTATTGAGGGTTGACTTAGCCCACCTCTAAATGCAGTTTAATACGTCATCTTTTGATGTGTGTGTCTGTTGTGATATTATACAAATGAGGAAACGGAGACACGAAGAAATAGGGACAGCACAGTGTCCAAGATAGTTTTGCTTGTTGGAATGAATATCAGGTCACGGGGTAAGTGCTCTAGTTTTGAAGGAGGAAGCATCGGTGGGGAAGTTAAAAGTCCAACAAAATGTTGGGAAAGATTAAGCGTAGGATGGGCGCAGATCTTGCACGATGAAACCATTTTAGGTTCGTTAAAGTCAGCAAGGAAACCGGGTACGAAGGCTCTTTTTGTTTTTCAAGACAGGGTTTCTCTGTATGTAGCTTTGGAACAAACCTGTCCTGGAATTCCCTCTGTAGACCCAGCTGGCCTCAAACTCAGAGATCCCCCACCTGTCTCTGCCTCCCGAGTGCGGGGATTAAAGTGTGCCACCACCACCCAGCAACAGCGGCTCATTCTTACAGTGCTTGTACCTGAAGGTAGCGGAAGAAGAGTATACTGAGTTGGAGGACAGCTGGCATATGCCAGACTGTAGCCTGGGTTACATAGAACGACCCTGCCCCCACACACACACACACAAGAAAAGAGGCAACAAGCCATTGAAGAGTTTTAAAACTAGAGATTTGGGGTCAAATTAGTATTTCAGAGTGTCACTGGGGAACAGAATACGTGAAGGCATTTTAGGAGAAATGAAGAGATGATGGTGGTCAGAACTCCAATAGTAATTTGAGGGATGGAGAGAGACCATTTGGAAGCCTTAGGAGGCAGACTCAGAAGAATCCAGTGGGAAAGGGGGTGTTGTTAAGAAAGACTTCTGGGTTTCTGCTGTAGGCACCACCTATAGCAGGAGTAATGCTATCAGAAATACTTTGCAGAACGAGCAAGGTCTTGGGAAGAGAAAACAAAGGTTTAGTTTGGGGAATAATGAATTTAAATGTCTGCACAGCATACAGGTGCTTTTGCAAAGTAGTAGACATGAGGTATGGAGTTTACAAAAACTGGTTTGAGCTGTACGGTGGGTAGCTGGAGACATGGCTCCCTGGTTAAGCCATTGTAGAGCACCTGCCTTGTAGAGCACCTGGGTTTGATTCTCGGCACCTGCATGGTGGTTCACAACAGTTAGTGATCCAAAGGACCCATTGCTTCTTCAGATACCAGGTATGCCCAGTGATGCGTGTACATACATGCAAGCAAAACTCATACACATAAAAAAATTTAAGACACAGGTAGCTCGCCAGGCATGGTGACTCATGCCTTTAGTCTCAGCACTCGGGCGGCAGAGGCAGGTGGCTCTACACTGAGTTTGAAGCCAGCCTGGTCTACAAAGCGAGTTCCAGGACAGCCAGGGTTACACAGAGAAGCCATGTCTCACTGTAGAGAAAAGGAAGAGATTGAAAAGAGGATCTGGAGCTAAGCCCTGAAGGCTGAGAGCTGTAGGCAAGAAGAGTACAAATGCTGGCAGGTGTAATGAAATGAAAGGTCCAGGAGAGATGCTTCAAGGACTAGCCAAGACGTTCGGGGGCATAAAGACTTATAAGACACTGCTCAGTTTTGTTTCTGTTGAGATCATTTTTATGAGAATTCAAGTTATGAAAGTGAGAGGTAAGGAAATAGAAACTGCCCATGAAGACGAGCTAGCTACTCAAGGGGAGGTGCCGTGTTATTTGTTGAACATTCTGTATGCAATTCCTCTTTAAAACGGAGATAAAGCTGTCCATATTAGAGGGAAGCTCTTTATGGCACAGGGTACTTTAAAGGGAAGTGAAACACTCCATCTTGCAAGGAAGCTAGTGAGGACGCAAGCGAATTATTCTAAGGACAGGAAACACATTCCATCTTTCAGAGGGACATCTTAATTTAAGCTCTAAACAACTCAGAGACTACTTCTACAAGTCCCTGACACTGACTGATCAGATTCCCTAGGATCCTCCCTCTCCACACATGTATAAGCAGTAAGCACAACCGAGAGACACTCTCTGACTAGCAGAGTTGCCTAGAAGAGCTCACATCAACTGAACTGCCTGGAAGAAGCTAAACAACTCCAACATGTTGAGCTTCCTGCAAGTTGTGCGGTGCAGTCCATGTTTCCAGCTTTTGTGCCCTGACATGCCGGAATGGGCTTTTAGCTGTACAGTTGTCTTTGAGTCATTTCTGCTCCTGTAAGTAATCTCTATAAAACTCTTTATTCCACCGTGTTGGGCTTTGGTGGTATCTTTGCTTTGGTCTGTCATCAGTTTTCTGAGATGACTAGATGTTTCACAGCTCCCCAGGAAGAGTGTCACACATACAACATGGGCATAGCCTATGTGCTTAAGAAAGTGTGGTTTAACCAGGAAATTATAGCCTCCTGGTAGGAAATGGAAATGATGTTTTCTAGTATTTTTTTAAGATACAATTGTTCAAGTGCTGCTATAAATACCTGCACTGGATAAATCACCATCAGAGATTTATTGCTCAATTATGGAGGCTGTGAAGTCCATGGTAAAGGCTAGAGCAGACCACAAATCTTGGGTTTTTTCATTGATGGTGTTTTTTGTGTGTCCTGGTGTGGCAGAGGAGCAAAGGGGACAAACAAGCTCCCTTCAGCCTCCTTTATAAGTGGGGGGCCCAGGGCGCACAGCTGCTATAGCAGGCAGCACCAGGTTCCAACCAACAGCCATAAGCTGGCACCACCCAGGAACAGACCATCCAAAGGAAATTACTACCATTTCGACCACTGTAGATAGGATCACCCACCAGCACACACCCATTGCTTTTCACCAGGACACCCCTAGACAAATGTCAGCTAATCAGGGATCCTGAACCTTAGAAATCCCTCACCTCTACTTTGCTTCTATAAAAACCCAACCCCAACTAAGCTCAAGGCTCTCCGATTACTCCAATACCAATATGTTGGACACACGGAGAGTCCGAGTTTGCAAACTTGTGTAAGAATAAAAGCTCTTTGCTTTTACATACAGGACTCGATCTCCTAGTTGGTTTTGGGGGAACTCCGTAATCTGGGCATAAGACATTTTGCTATTTAAAAGGTAACTGAAGGGCTGGAGAGATGGCTCCATGGTTAAGTGCACTTGCTTCTCTCATAGAGGACAGATCTACTGTCCTGTCCAGGACACAGCCAAAGCACCTCCTCACAATACTAATACATCTTGCAACACGTGAACTTTGCGGGTGACATGACATGAAATTCAGGTGATGGCACCAAGAGCTGAGGCTCATTTGATCCCCTTCCTGTAACTGTTGACTTTTCTCCTCACTCCAGTCTTCACATACCCCACAGCCTCTCCTCTTGCTTATGTTGCCACTGTTTAGTTCAAAACTTCTTGACCTCTTGTGTGGTGCGGTCCTCAGAACTATGAATTGTTCCCACCTTAATATGTCCAGTTCATGGCATTGCCAGTGACCTTTCAAAAATACAGATCTCACCAACTTTTCTTTTATTGAACAAATAACAGTGTTGCTGTGCCCTGCACTGAAGCCATCACCATGCAAAAGACAGTCTTTTTTTTTTTTTTTTTCCAAAATGGGATTTCTAGGGCAGGTTTGCCTTGAACTTGCTATGCAACCAAGAATGACGTCGAACTTTTTCACCTCTGATAGTGCTGGGATTACAGGTAGGTGTGGACCACCATGCCTGGTTTATGTGGTGCTAGAAATGGAACCCAGGGCTTTGTTCATTCTTGGCAAGCTCTCTACTAACCAAACTACACCTTCAACCCATCTCACCACCTTAGAACTTAGATAAGGAGATGTTCTCACATCATCACATAAGTCTTCTGTCATTTAAAGTCCAGTAGCTTCCCATGGTGCTTATTCTCCGTATTGCTGCCTTCACACCACCCTTTGTGATTTACGCTGACCACCTGTCCCACTTTGTCTTTCTGAATTCCTTTCCTCCAGTCATAATAGCTTGCTTGCTTCTGGAGAGTTGGGAGGGAAAGCTGTGCTATCAGTACCCCTTGTACATGTCTGCATGAAGCACCCACTATACCATACTAGGAATGGTATAACCTCCGAATGATTTTAACCAAGACCAACAAGTCAAAGTATCATGAATCTAATTGACCCAATTCATTTGATCAACGGACCAAGTTACCCTAGGGATAACAGCGCAATCCTACTTAAGAGTCCATATCGACAATTAGGGTTTACGACCTCGTTGTCACTGTATATGCTACTAAACTTAGCTCTGAAGTCAAAAGAGCATGCTTATTTATTATTATGGTTTGGTGCAGAACAGTGAATAAATACAGAATCTTTTTGAATGATTGCTACAAAGCATCACAATAATTTAGTGAGATAAAGACCTTTTTGTCAAGTCAGAATACCCATATAAGTCTGGAGAGATGTCTCAGTGTTTAAGCACATTTATTTTTCTTTAGGAGTATTTGAATAGGTCCCTGCACTCACAACGTGGCTCACAGCTGTCTGTAACTCCAGTTCCAGGGATCCAGGACCTTCTTCCAACCTCCACAGGCATCAGGCGTGCATGCAAGTTGTTCACATACATACATGCAAACAAAATATATTTAAAATGAATAAAACTAACTTTAAAAAGAACAACCATGTAGATACACTTTGATATGTTCTTTGTTACTGTGGACACCTCTGTTGTGGTATAATGCTCTTGTACCTTGTAAAGATTTGTCACTTGTATTGATTTATAAAAATGATTAGCCAGTAGCCAGGCAGGAAGTATAGGCAGAATGACCAAATTAGAATTCTGGGAAGAGGAAGGCTCAGTTTGCAGTCACCAGCCAGCCAAAGAGGAAGCAAGATGAGAATGCCTTGCTAAGGTACCAAGCCATGTTGCTAGACATAGATAAGAATTATGGGTTAATTTAAGTTGTAAGAGCTAGTTATTAATAAATCTGAACTAAGAGGCCAACCAGTTTATAATTAATATAAGCTTCTGTGTGTTTTGTTGGGACTGAACAGCTGCAGAACTGGGTGGGACAGAAACTTCTGTCTACATACTTCAAATTCAATATTCACTGAGTTTGTGTTTCAAGTGAGACTGTACAAAATATTTCCATCTTCTTGAGTATTGTACCTTTTAACTGGCATTAATTTTATTGTCTCAGACCAAATAGTTTAATAAATGTCTGCCATTAAAAATTTTACAGAACAGTCTCCTGTGTTCTGGTAAGAATCAGTGGTAACTAAGTAGCAGACTCATTATAGTTTTCCTAAATTCAGCCTCCTGAAAGCAAAACCATGAAATGTGCTTTTCAAGAAGGGGCGATTGGACTGGACAATGTATTTTTGAAAACTGGTAGGTGACTTGTTTTCATTTTCTTACCCATTTTGCACGGTTTTTTCTTGTTTGTGTGTGTGTGTGTGTGTGGTGTGTTTTGCTTTTGGTTTTTCAAGACAGGGCTTTTCTGTATAGCTTTGGTGCCTGTCCTGGAATTTGTACAGTCGACCAGGCTGGCCTCGAACTCACGGAGATCCACCTCCGTGAGTGCTGGGATTAAAGGCGTGCTCCACCACAGCCCAGCTTTGTTTTTAAATACAGGAATACTCAAAAATAGAAACAACCCCGTGCCTAACACCACATAAATGGATAAGCAATGTGGTCTTGGTAACAATTTGTATGGGACATACAGCTTGTTTTGAACTTTCTATGTATCCTTCAAGTGCTGGCAATAAGGTACATAGGCTTGAAATAGATGAAAGAAAAGAAACAAAACCTAATGTTACTGGTGAGTGCTTCCCCCACCCCTCTGGAGACAGGTCTTGCTATGCAGTACTGACTGCACTGGAACTTGCTATGTAAACTCAAAACTCAAGAGATCATCTGACTCTACCACCCGAGTGTGATAGCACGCCTGGCCATGTGTGCTGTTTTTTTAGTCCAGTCAAAAAATATTATGCCCCTGTGATATACTTAAATGCTAGTTTATTAAAGTATTACTTATGAATTCATTTTTATATATTAATGTTAACGGGATATTTTTAAGCCCTATTTCTCTAGTGTTCTTTTATAATCTTCCAAGTGGTTAGTACTATAAGGGATTTTTTTTGTCTTTATAGTTTTATTGAGGGATAGATGTCATATTGTACTTCAAAATATTTTTATTAGTTTTGTGAGTTGGGCATCTTTAAGTACTACTGTCAATCATATTCCACCCATTTTAGGTCATTAGTATTTTTCATATAATCCATATTTATTCTTGTACTTAGTCACTATTCTATCCCACCTGTGACCAGGTTTTCACTCTTACCCATTTTTTGCACCTTTTTTTTTTTTTTAATACAGGGATAATAAAAAGTAGAAACATTGAGTGTCTAACATCTGGTGACTGGATAAACAATGTGGTCCATCCATATGTTAGTATTTTCTCTGAAGAAGTGGAACATTCCCTGCTGGAGAGGAAAGGGAAGCAGCTCATGAAACTGCAGAACCAAGGTTTTCAAGACTCACCAGCCTTTCCCCAAGGTTCTATAAACCAAAAATGAGTTGCCAGAGGAGAGGGCTCTTCAGTGGGGCCACCTATAGGTTGAACAGGGAACCCCAAAGACGCAGCTTTTTTGAGTTGTTGCCTGTTTCAAGGTGGGCTTTTTAGTGTTTTAGCTGCTCTGGAGTCACCCATGCTTCTCAAGTGACCCCAGGAAGCTTAATGTCCATCAGGCTACAACTGGATGGAATCATGTCTGTGGCGTATTGTCCATGCCCCTGCGTGGGGAGAATAAGTTCACATTTTCCCAGGAAATCACACAGCACCATACAAGGAACATTTGGCCATTAGACAAGAGAAACACTGGTACATACTGTAACCCAAAACCTAAAGCAAAGCAGAAACCCTGTGTAGTAAATCCACACAGGCCATGTCAGATGAGCAGTCTAGAATGGGCTCTACCACTGTGGGGCTGTACCACCACCAAGAGAGTAGAAGTCTTAAGTTTTGATTAAGTATAATTCACTGACCTTTCAAAAACAATACTGTGTGTTTTGTTTAGGAAATCATTGCCAAATCTAAGGCTTCCTAATTTTTAATGATTCTACCAAACAAAACCCTAGCACTGTCCTTTAGAGTTCCCTAGAAGCACACTTTCTGTAACAAGATATTTGAGGCCAGACAACTTTTAATAGAGGTTCATTTTTGCTCATGATTCTGAAGTTGCAAGGTCAAGCAAAAGACACGTCCAGTGTTGACCTTCTTGTTGCCAGTTTGAGGTGGTCTAAGGTATCACATGGCAAGTGATACAGCTCTTATAAAACCACCAAAAATTCAATTACAGATGCAGTTCCCTGTGATGCACAGTCTAGTCCAGTCTAGTCCTAATCACTTGTCAAAAGCTCTACTTCTATGCACTGTTATTCTAAGATGTTTCCATTGTTTTAATACTTCACAAAGACATTAAACTTGGACACATGAATGATGTGGGATTCCCCTCTGTATGCTATGAATATGCTTTATTACCACTGGTTATTAAAGAAGCTGTTTCGGCCAAAAGCTTAGTAAAGCCAGGCAGGAAATCCGAACAGAGATATAGAGAGAAAGTAGGTGGAGTAGAGAGAGGCCAGGGAAACAAATGAACAGTCTACAAAATGGTGCGCCAATGTGGGCCACTGCATCTACATAAAACCTGAGACAGTCTGGGAAGGAATTCTAGACACAAAAGAACAGAGTTAAGCACAGCTTCTTGGTAGCAGCCTATTTTGAGATAGGATCTGTTTGCTGGCGGTGAGCAGAGGCGCTGCTCCTTTCAGCAGCAGTCTCCATCTACACACGAACTCCTGGGGGACACTGAACCATAGCATGTTTGGAAAATGTGAGGGAAAAAAATGGTATTTATGAATTAATAGTACTGTAATCCAAAGAGAGAAACAGAAAATCAAATGCTAAGAATAAATAGGATACCTATGTAAACAACATGCTCAATTATAGTTTTTGATTTTTCTGAGCCATGGTCTTCATACACACACACACACACACACACACACACACACACACATCCTTAGTTGATCTAGAATCTATTATATAAATCAAGTTGACGTTGCATTTGCAGCAATCTTTCAGCTTCTTCATAAATGCCAAGAGTACAGGCTTGCACTACCACACCTGGCCTTAAAAAGTAATTGTTTAAGTCAAATTGTGCCTGATAATGGAAGGTTACCTCAATAAAATACAAAGGATATAATAAAAAGTGTAAAAAGAATCACACTTTAAAGTCTTCCAATTAAATAATAAATGTTTTATTTCTCCAATGACTTTTAAAATGTGAACATTCTGAGATTTAGCCACAGGCTTTACTTCCAAGTAAATTCTTCATTGGGCTTCAGTTCTCTGTGTGAAAAGAAGGAAAGGAAAAACAGTAAACCATCTTAAAAATATTAAAATTTTATTTTATGAGTATATGTGTGCCTTCAAGTATATATATGCACCATGTGTGTGCAGGTGTCCTAGCATGCCAGGAGAGCGCACTGGATGCCCTGGAACTGGAGTTAGGTAGTTGTAAGTAACCACGTGGGTGTAGGAACCAACTGGGTCCTCTTTAAGAGCAGCAAATGCTGTTAACCACTGAGCCATCTCTCCAGCCACCATGTAAATATTTTTTTTATGAGAGGGCCAGAAGTCTGTATTTGTTTACATTCTATCAAATTGACTTATTTACATTTACATTAGATTCATTATAAACATTCATTCAGTTCTCCCATAAACTTTTACTGTCTCTTCCCCAGCTCAAAGAACAGTAATCTCTTGATTTACAAAGCACTCTCTTCTTCTGAGTACACTTAATTGTTTCTGGATCCTTTGTAGCTCATTTCATCTTTCTTGAAATACCAGACTTGTGAACCACACCTGCATAGTGACACTGGATGCTACTTAAGTCTTTTTACTCCTTGAGCTTCCAATCCAGAAGCACTATCCACTGAGAGATACTACCTGGTCTGGTCAGGCATGCCGTAGGCCCAGGCAGCTGCTGGGTGTTACCACTCAGTCACCCATATGCAAAGCTCTCAAGCAGTGATGCCAAAGCGTTACCATTTATTTCAGCTATATCATGGCTTAAGACATACATGGTATACAATAACATATAATGAAAGCATACATGATAGGTTTTGGGGAGTTGGCTTAAGTTTTGTTTCTACACTAAAATTCTGACTTTGTAGAAGGGGGGCACCATGAGGGGAGACCTCAAGGAAAAGGGTAACAATAAAGGGTAATGAAAATTAGAAAAGATAAAATATTGCAGGTTTTCTATCATGCAAAAATTCTAGATTTAAATACATATGACATGTGGGAGAGGAAGGGGACCAGTGAGAGGGGGCGAAAAGTACAAAGATATGCATAACGAGGCTCGGTGATTGAGTGCTTGTTGCTCTCACAAAGGACAGCCACACTGGGAGACTTACAACTGCCTGTAACTCCATCCAGACCCAGGGAATCCAATGCCCTCTTTTGGAGTCTAAGAGCACCCACCCACAACATGTGACACACACATAAAGAAAACCATTTTTTAAAATGACTATGAAAAGATTAATAAAGATTTACATTCCAGAGATAATCATACAGTTTCATACAACAATTAAATAACAAGCATAAAGTATCCATCACTTGACTGTTAAAACAAAACAAAACAAAAAAATTTTTTTTATCTCTGGAAAAAAGACCCCAAACTCCCCAGAACTGTGTGAACTAACCTCCGATATAGCATACTCTTATTCCGGAAGGCAGTTAGCTTTTCGTCATCCTTCCTGTCTAGATAGCATCCAAAGACAAATCCCATAGGAACAAGTATATGAACCCAGTATTCGCGTACAAGCTGAAGCAAGGTCATCGTGGCTGCTAAAACAGAGGGGGAAAAATGATTATACAACTGCCTTTGAAATATTGAAAGGTGGATAGGGATCACTTGGGAACAATATACCTTAGGAATGGGGACAAGAGCGGAAGGATGTTATGATATAACCAATGCGCGCCACAAGAATGGGGATTCTTTTAATATGTACAAGTAGTATGCTAGTCAATAATTAGCCTTTGGTTTGGAGGGTTTTGTTGTTTTTTGAGACAGACTCAACCTTGCTATAGTGTAGATTAGAATGACCTTGAGCCTGCCACAGAGGTTCCTGCCTCTGCCTTCCTAGTGCTGAGATTACAGGTGTAAGCTACCACACCTGGCTTAAAACAAGTCATTTTTTAAATTGCTTCTGAAATAGGAAGAGAGCTGTGGGCATGCCATGTTAAAAGCATAAGCCTCTTTAACTTTGCTTGACATCAGAATGCAATTAAAACCTAGATTAGGCGGTAACAGTTAGTATAAGGTTCACTGTACTTGGGCCAGTGTGATGCACTGTGTGAAGGTGCTTACTGCCAAGCCTGGCTGAGACTGATCCCAGAACCCACATACATGGTTGAGGGAGATACCACTTCCTCAGGTTATACTCTGACCTCCATGCATGTACACACACAGAAATAAACCTAATAAAAATTATACTGCATCACAGTATTCATGAAATCTTATTTTTTTACTTCATCAGTGATTTGATATGCTATAGAGCCAAGAAATGGAGAATTTTAAAAATTTTACCTGAAAAATGAATATTTGCCCTCTTTATGTTGCTTCAGAACTTCCACATAGGTAAAATATTCCTAGATGCTCTCACAATGCAAATACAAAGTTAATACTATTTTACTAGGTTTTGTTTGCTTTTTGGGTTTTGTGTTTTTGTTTTTTGAGACAGGGTTTTTCTGTGTGTAGCTCTGACTGTCCTCGTTAGACCAGGCTGGCCTTGAACTCAGAGATCCACCTGCCTCTGCCTCAAGTGCTGGGATTAAAGGTGTGTGCCACTACCACCTGGCTAGACTTTTTGAGTAAAGATAAATTTTATTAAAAGCTATTTTTTTAAGAATTAAAAAAAATTTGACAAGAACATAATGTCACAAGATCAGAAAATTAAATGACTATAAAAGATAAAAAGAGAAGAAAATTTTTTGTTTTGTTTTTCGAGAGAAGGTTTCTCTATAGCTTTGGAGCCTGTCCTGGAACTAGCTCTTGTATACCTAGCTGGCCTCGAACTCACAGAGATCCGCCTGCCTCTGCCTCCCAAGTGCTGGGATTAAAGACCATGGCCTGGCGAAACGTGCAGTAACTCTTATCCTCATTTTATATGGTATAAAAACAGCTTAACTCGGGACTGGAGAGATGGATTAGTGCTTAACATACTTGTTCATACAGAGGATGTAGGTTCTGTTCCCAGGACACACATGCAAACTCACAATCATCCATAACTCCAGTTTCAGGGGGTCCAATGACCTCTTTTCACATCCAAGGACACTAGGCTCAAATGTGGTGTACACACAAACATGCAGACAAAACATACAAAAATAAAATACACTAAAAAAACCAACAGCTTAACTCAAGTAGCTATTAATAACAAGCTACTGTTCCGATTCAGCAAACTCCACACAATGCCTCCTGTGTCACAGCACACTTTCTCTCCTTGAGCTGATATTTCTCTTTAGCTTTGAACACTTTCCAATGGGCAGTGTTCTGGGAATCAAGTAAAAAATAACAAATGTGTGCTGAATTCCATAAAAACACCACTGAATTGCCAATTTTCTGTTAAGATTTGTATATACAGATGAAACAAAAACACATTCACATGCGTATGAATACATCACATACAGTGGCTGAGAGGACATGACAATCCTAGGAGAAGCAATACATTACTGCTAGAAGTGCTTAGCATAACCGGCGTTCGTCTTCTGTAGATTCCATTTCTGCTTCATCTCCTGATATTGGTCTCTATATTAACACAATTCTGTTTGCCAGATTATAAGAACCTAGTACCTAAAGTCACAGTGTTAAGACGATAATCATGAAGTTAAACGTTGCAGTTACTATATAGTTCAAAATATGTAATATTCCTTATAGCAAATTCCAGTTTGAACATCACTGATTTTCTAGATCAGTTATGATGTAGCACATGAGAAGAATATATATTTACAACTTGTCCATCTGTTAGTTTTATATTGTAGTCTGTTGCTTAGCTACAGCTGAAAATCTCAACCTGAACTACACATCAGAACCACCTGGGGAGTCTTTTTGAACTAGGGAATCTTTGGCCTTTCCTCCAGGATGAGACTGGAATAGTAGAGCCATTCCTATTGGCTTTGGTCTGGCTCCATTCGGAAGAAAGATGAGCTAGGACTATGGGGCTCTTGCCACATAAAGGTTCTTACAGACTCCAGAACAACTCACCCACTGATTTGGATACAAATGCTTCTTGGAGATATAAAAGTAAAGCCAATCTTACTTTATTTCCAAGAAGACAGTGGTTCTCTTCGCCTTTATTAAGTAGCATAACATATTTAAAGTAGTTGTTGAATGCTAACCAAGGACTCCCCAAGTGAACTGTTTACCTGCTTTGTAAACCTGAGCCAGTCAAGAATGGAGATGATAAAGACCTTTGGTAATAAGGTGACGTTACTTTAAAAGCACTTAACTACAAAATACTAGACAATGTTTATATTCATGAGACTGTTCAAGTTCAGCAAACTCAGTGGTCACCTACAATTCCTATGCTTAATTGCAAACTTAAGGGCCAGAAATGTACTCAGCAGGGAAACGTACTGACCATCAGGTCTAAGGACCCAAGTCTGGTTCCTGGGACCCACATGAGAGAGAACTGACAATTGAAAGTTGTCCTCTAACCTCTGCACCAGCATGCCACCACCTGTGGCGACATGAAGGCGTGCACACACACATACACACAAACACTTGCATGCACACACACAAATATTAAGTGTTAGCCTTATCGTTTATACAGCTGTTAGACATTATTTTGTATTAATGAGTACTTGCTGATTCCCAGCTCAGAAGAGTTTAAAATAAGCTCAGCCACCTGTAGGCTATGAGCCATTACTATTGGCATTCTAAGAAACGGGTTCGGCCTGGCTCTATTTAGAAGAGGCTATGGGGTCTCGCCACATACCGGCTTTTACAGACTCCAGATGTAATGACAGTGATGATAAGGATTCTTTATAGAATCCATGGTTGGAGTCCATCATCATGAAGGAATATCCATAAGAGATAATGACAAATCCTAGTCCTAGAGAGGCGTCTCATATTACAGTGGTACAGTATATACTCAATGGGCTTGGGGAGCAGTGCAGTGAATACTATCTGTGTGGATGGTTTCCTGCAAGTAGATGAGCAGGGAGGGCAAAGATGGACATCTGAGTCAGAATGAGGAAGAGGGGAAGTAGAGTGAGGATCTAGGCCATGGGCCCAAATCCTTAGAGCTCCATCCAGTGTAGACAAAGGTGGTAAGGACCTGGACAAGCTTCACTAGGCAAATCTAGATTTTGGGTGAGCTAAGAATTTTATCATGAGGACAAGGCCAGTTAACTGTTTTAAGGAATATATTCCTGGCTGGTACTTAAGGAGAGCACTATATTAATCATCACCTTTTACGTCTTTAGATTTATTTTTATAATTTTTTAAAAGTGTGTGTGTGTGCGCACGCGCACATAAGTACAGCTGTCTGAGAAGGCCGGAGTCAGAACCCTTTGGAGATGGAGCTGTGAGCCACCCAACACAGGTGCTAGGAACCAAGCTCTGGTCCTCGCAAAAAGCAGTAAGCACCGAGCCATTTCTCTAGCCCTACGGGTGTCTTTTTGTATGAGGGCCCATAAAAAGAATTTTGTTCTTATTTCAGAATTTGAAGTAACTATAGTATTTTTTTGGGGGATTGTTTTTCTAAACAGGGTTTCCCTGTGGACCACTGGCTATCCTGAAACTCTGTAGACCAGGCTGGCCTTGAACTCACAGCGATCTACCTGCCTCTGCCTCCTGAGTGCTGGGATTAAAAGCCGGCATACCATAGTATTTTAACAAAAAGAACTGGGTTTCATGTTAGGGCATTAAGGAGTCTTATGTCTTTTCCTCCTGTGAGGAGTGGTGAGGAAGGAGGAAGGGAGGATGCTAGGGGTTGCTCTTGGCTCTCTCTGTAAAGCACACGCTTCAATACAGAACTACACACTCAACCTTGGTCATGTATCTTTTAATATTAAAGTGATCTATTTTTTTTGCAAGCTTCTAACGAGCTGAATCCTTTTTCTTTTTCTTTTCTTTTTTCTTTTTTTTTTTTTTTGAGATAGTTACTGTATGGCATTGTCCCCCTCCCTGCCTCATCCTCACAAATAGTTGGAATTACAGATGTGGACCACTTGTAAGAGGTGTTTCTGCCTAATCACTAAATCACATAATCCTCACCACAGCACTGCAGGTTTGTTAAGTAACAATGTCTCAATGAGTGGACATTAAGTTTTTTTTTTTTTTTTTCAGATGATGAAATCCAAGTTCAGTTATGGTCAAGTAACTTGCTTTAGATTACAGAGTGAAGAGTCAGGATTAGCATAATACACAGCCAATCTTTACCCCAACATGGCTTAAGCTCTGTGTACTATTGTCTCCCTGTATATACAAAGATAAACATTTAATAACTTTTTTTTTTTTTAATGGCAGAGCCTTGCTGTGTAGCCTAGAACTCACTATGTACACCAAGCTAGTCTCAAACTCACGAGCATGCACCTGCCTCTGCCTCTTTGGCACTGGGATTAAAGGCGTGCGCCACCACACCTAGCATTTGCTTGTTTTTAAAAGAAACAAACAACAACAAAAAGCCCACATTTTCTCTATATTTCTCTCTAACACAATTTTCTTTCCCCTTTCGAGAAAAAAACAGAAACTGGTGTCTTATTTTGGTGAGTCCACTCCGGACTCATAGACATTTTAAGAGATATACCATGTATCTAACTGGATCCCACAGTTCCTTATAAGCACCGCTCACAAAGTGTCGCCCAAGCCATGGAAAACAGTTAAACGCGTAGAGCGATGGAACCCTTGAGATCGTGACGTACACAAGCTGGAAACCAAGCATAAAGTCGTGTTTTTAAAAGGCAAACGGGTTTCCTATTTAGGAATGTGTAGTTGGGCGAGGAGGCAGATATCTGGGCCTGTGCAAATGTGCGCTGCTTCTGGTTGGGAGCCACGGTCCCTGCTGTGCCCTCTGCAGTCCCGGCGGCCCCCAAGGACGCTTCGGGTGAGCCAGGCTCAGAGCACCCTTGGTAAGCGGTGTGCAGCGAGCAGCCCGTAATGGTCCCGCGGGGGCGACCCTGGTTTCCCTCCACGCGAGCCTTCCCAGGACGCTCCCTCCTGCACCACCGCGACGGGTGACACCCGGGTCCCCAGACCCACCTGCAGCCGGTGCCGAGCACGACCCACGACCAAGGGCAGCGGTCGGGAGCTAGGCCACCGGCGCCAGCGGAAGCGGTGACCTCAGGAGCTGCCACTCTCCGCGCCAGCCCCGAGGAGAGGGGTGGCGACGTCAAGTCAACGCCTCTCGGTCTTCTCACGAGCGATTTCTCTAGTTTTTAAGCTTTCAGATACTCACGAGAGATTCTGAATAAAACTTGGATCGACACTGACAAGACTGGTGAGCTTCTGCGCTGTCGTCTTCCCCAACCCGGTCCCCCGCCCCCCCACAGATGGTGTCGCCCGGGTCGTCCCCGCCTCTGCGGCTCGCCCCAGGCCCAAGATGGCGGCCACCACACAGGGGCTCCTGCCGGCCGCTCTGCGCCGCTGAGCGCGCGCCTGCTCTGCTCGCTCTCGAACCTGCGTTTTACTGGGGGTTGGGAAGGGCGGTGGACGGTGCTGGGGGAGCCCGACCAGGCAGGTGAGGACGGGAAAAAGAAAGGAGCCTTCGGGTCTGGGTGGAGGCCCTCGGGGGACTGGGTTCCTGCACCGGCCCGGTGTCTCCCTGACGCGCTCCCGCGGTTTCGGTTGTGACCGTCTCCGTGGTTCCTGGAATAAGCGTTCCGCGAGGGGAAAGAAAAGTGACTTTTCCACGGGTCGAAACCTCGGGATGTTTGTAACGCACCTATGGGTCCTCCCTCTGACCTTCCATCGTGTTGGAGCTAAGGGTCAAGCCGAGTCCAGGCTCCTTGCCGTGGTGCCGCGGTACCCGCAAGCCTTCCCTGCCCTTCTGGGGTTCAGAGACCACGAGGCCAGGTGTCCTCTTAGCTCCGTAACTTGAAAGAGCCTTGAGATGTTTGTGCCTCACCTTGTTAGAATTGTTGCTCTCGGTGCTTCCACGATCATTGTGTTTGCCGAGACAAAATTTCTTATTTTCCTTGTTTATATACTTTTCAGGAAACCAGAGGTCAAGCGCTCTAACCCTAATAATCTTCCTGTCACGGGGAGAGTTTAAGCCATTATCTATGCCTACCCTCTAACCTTTAACGTACAATTCCCTTGCGTGTTTCAAAGCCCTTCTTTACCTGAACGACCGAGGAGAGACTTCTCCCACTCTAAGCCCCAGGACTAGTCCAGACCCATCTTAGTTCTTGGATTGTGCATACTTCTCATTGGTTGGCCTCAACAGGCACGATCATTCTTGAGAAAGCAAGTATATATTTGGGATACAGCAGAGAAAGTCAAAATCACTACCCTGGAGGAGTTTCCCTGCTTTCTGCTTGCGTTTCTTTATATTGCTGTGAGTTGTGAGTGCTGTGCTTGGTTTGGGTGAGGTGAAGAGGACCACTTTTAGACATTCGGCATCCGTTCTGCACGTATTCTTTGTGCCTCCTTTGTGCTAAGTAATCAAGCAACCAAAGCAACCAGCTTTACCTGGGGACAATGAAAAGGCTACACCTGAGCTGGAGCAAAAGGAGCTTGCTAAACCCGGGAAAACAAAGTCACTCCTGGATGTAGAGCCAGGATTACAAACTTGAGAAAGTTAGGCATTGTTAAGGGAGATTTTTTTTTTTAAACAAACCTGCAAGAGTGGTTGGCGAAAACTGAAGGTGCGAATTGAAGGTTGAGGACAGCTTGTGAGGGGTCTTGATTTCCATTTTGGATTGTATTCAGTAGTTAGCAGGAAGCTCCTGCATAGTTGCGGGGGTAGACATAAGGGTATGGAGGACCAACTTGAGGCTAGAAAACTAGATGAGATTGCAGTCATTCAGGTAAGGCAGCAAGCACCTCCACTGGGGCAGGAGAAGGAAGACCAAGAGAAACGAAGTAAATGCTGCACAGTGGTCCAGCTAGTGACTAGCTGGTGGGGGTGGCTAGTAAGACTCAATGCTTGGTGATACCTTTAAAATCCAGTCTGAGACATGCACCTAAAAACAGGGGGGTGCCAACTTTGCTCTTTAGCAGTGGCAAAAACACAGTGTTCGCCAGGCTAAAGCATTGACTTTGGAGTAGAGACCTCTGCTCTTGCAGGAGCCACTAGCCACATGCACCAGTGAGCTCTTGAACTGAGGCGGGTTTGAACAGAGATGTCCTGGAATTTGAAGACAGTACAAAGACGATGGACACTGACTCATTAAGTGATCACATGTTGAAATGATGGTTCGGACACTGTTAAATAAAAGATGAGGCTTTTTTAAAAAACAACCTCTTTATTTTTAAATGTGGCTATGAAAAATTTTAGATTACATCTATGGCTCGAATTATTTTAGTCTAGATTAATGATGGGAGAAGGATGAGTAGGGGGATAAAATTTGATCTAGACCCTGAGAGAAGAATAAACTAATGTCAAGGCAACGTCCTGATGACGCCTCACCCCACTTGCCGGTAATAACACTCTGTTATTTATCTTTATTTTCCCCCCTCAGCCAATAAGACATTTTTAAGTTTTTTTTTTTTTAATTTTAAACTTTGTGTGCATACACACACACAAACACGTACCACAGCACACAGATGAAGGTCAGAGACAGCTTGCTGGAGTAGGTGCTCTCCTTCTACCAAGTGGGTACAAGGGATTGAACTAAGGTTCACCTTAACCACTGAGCTATCTTGCCATCTCTGCCTTCAAGGACTTTTGAGCAAGGGGTAATGGGTGTAGGGATGTTTTAGATGAATCTGACCATTAAAAAAAAAAAGCTACAGGGAAAGAATTGGAGAAAGCCAAGTGTAAGGTAATGAGGCCTGATTTTGAGGTGTTGACAGGAGGAACAGAAAAGGGATGTCTATGTGCGAGGTGTTCTGAGGGAGAAAACTCAGAATTGATAGGGGACAAATTGAAATTTCCCAGAGAAATAAAGGGAAGGCATTCAGCTGTGGCTCCTTAGTGAAAAACTAATGAATTGATAAAGAAATATGAAATACAGTCAGGACAAAAGATGAGAATCAGCGAAGTGGAGTGAAGAGTTTAGGAATCTAATTAAGTACTTTCCCTTTTCTGTCTGCGTCCGTTAGTGTTCAGTCATGCGCATCGCCTGTTTTCCTCCAGTACGGAGTTGCCTCTATTGTGCCCTCTTCCTGTTAAGGAATTTTTAAATTAAGTTTATTATTGCCTGTGGAACTAGATTCAAGGTATGCAGGGCCCTTCAGCTGGGCCTGTCCTGTACATTAGGCCAGTCTGTCTGTGTTTCTATGTAAGCATGGCAAGCTGAGTTCTTGCCTGACACCTGTCTCTTGCTTTGTGTTTTGTGTTTTAGCTGATGTTATTCCAAACTTTTGACCATCTTTTCTTTTTCTGCCTGGCCTTATAAATTTTTAATAAGTAATCATAGTTTTTTTTTTGTATCAGAAGCAATTGAGAATTTTTAAAATTCACTTTCTACACTGTGTGTGTAAGCAGTTTACAACCAATTTAAATTGTTTTATTTATATGTTTTATCCCTTTAGTAAATTTAACTCCTTACAATTTTTCTCTTTTTTAGATTTATTATTTTATTTAATGTATGTGAGTGTTTTATCTGTATGTATGTGTGTCACGTATGTGTCTGGTGCCTTTGGAGTTTAGGGCTTTGGGTCCTCTAGAACTGGAGTTACGGATGATTGTGAACCACTGTGTGGGTACCGGGAACTGAACCCAGGTCTCTATGAGAACAGCAAGTGCTCTTCACTGCTGAGTCCTTTCTTCAGTCCCAATGTTTCTTTTTTAAAATGGAACATATAGGGCCAGTCATGATTGCACATTCCTGGAATCTTAGCCTTTGAGAGGCTGAGGCAGAATGAAGAACCTGAGGCCTTCTGGACTATATAGTCCACTCAAGACCAAACTTCATAGTAAGAACTTGTCTCAAAAACAGGCAAACAAAAAGCATGTGCTCCTTCTGATCCTAGGGAAAGACAGAAATTAAAACGCCATGGTTATAAACAGAAGTAAATTATATTACATTGCCAAGACTGTTTTTTTTTAAAGATTTATTAAAAAACTTTTCTGAATTTGTACTTTATCATGTCTCGGCTGAGCTATTAGTAGGTAATGATTGTCTGATAAGGATACGTATTTACCAAAAGGACCTACGTGATACTTTCCATATGTTGAATTCTAGTCTTTCTGGAAAAGTTTTAATGGGAGTTCATTCTATTATATCTGCAAGCACTTTGTGTTTTGAGTTTATAATTAAATAACACTGAGAACTGAAGTATGTTTAAAGAGTTGGTTGTTTAGCTCAGTGCTAGAGCACTTGCTTCACATACATGGAACCCCAAGTTTGAGTTCAAGCACTGTCCCCTCCCAAATAGAAACTTTAGGGGAAATAGTGCCTAGATTATCTTCAAAACTGTATTTATAAGCATTTTTATAGAGTAGAAAATTAAGCCAGCCATAGTGCTGCAAGCCTTTAATCTTGAGGCAGAGGAAGGTAGATCCCTGTGAGTTCAAGACCAGTCTGGTCTATATAGTGAGTTCCAGGACAGCCAGGGCTACATAATAAGACCCTATCTTGAAAACAAACCAAAAGAATAGAAAATGTATCTGTTTATTTCTCATACCTCAAGTAAATAAATCAGTAAATAAGTACATCAGTATTTCAGATTTTAACTTATTAGAACAGCTACTATGTACTTCTGCTAATTAATACATCAGATGGGTCACATCTGGTCAGGTAGATTACCTAGGCCTATGCTCCTAGTATTTGGGAACTGGGGAGGTAAGTAGGAGGATGAGGCGTTTAAAGTCGTCTTTTGCTACATAGAGAGGCCAACTACATTATATGAGACCTTGTCTCAAAAAGATAATAAATAAACCAAAGAGAATGGAGCTGTTAACTGTAGACCCCACATTACCTGCTGAGCCATCTCACTGGCTTTTACCAGTTTACAACAACACAGCACTCATATTAATCTTTCTGGAAAATATATGGTAGGCATCCCCACATGCATTGCATTGGGTGTGTGTTGAGTGCCTACTTTGTGTCAGGTTTTGTTTGGGGAATTGCAAACAAACACAGAATTAATTGCAAACCTTAAGATGTTTTTCAGTTGCTTACAATGCAGCACAAGTGTTGTCAACATTAGCTTCCTGAAAACTGAGTTTCTATGAGTATATACATTTTGTGTGTGTGTGTGTGTGTTGAGGACTGTGGGAGAAAGGAGGAGCCATGGTTTT